GTATTCTGGTAACCAGAGCCTGCCCTGGCTATTGAGCAAATGGAACCTTTTTTTTGTTCTGTGGTTGTTGTTGCTCCTGCCCTTGCCCTGCTGTGCAAACTCTGCTCCTTGGTTCCAGAGGCCTTCCAATTGTGCCCCTGGTCTGTGCTGCTTCCAGTGGTGGTAGGTGGGTGGGTCACACCCCCTCCCAACACCAAGTCCTTGCTGTGCTCCTGCATGGTAGTTGAGCAGGTTCCTTACCCACTCAGTGCTGCTCCTGCTTCACATCAGGTCTGTGCTCGGTAGGCCAGCTGGGAGAAAACCAGCCCTTGCCTCTGCTCTGTGTTCATTTGTCTTAGAAGAGTAAGATTACAGAGACACAGATGTAGAAGGTTTCTATTTGCCTGGGGCTGTAAACAAATCTCAGTCCAGCCTATGAGATTTCAAAGCCCATAGGTAAGGATTAGGTTTTGAACCTACCTCTGCCTGGGATCCCGGCACCTAAGAATATGGTGGCTGTGTCTGAGACCCTGCTCTCTTCTCCATAGAATGTGCCAGAAATAGTGCCACATTTCTGCAGAGACAAAGGCTATGGCTCCCCTCTCCCTAGTGCACACCAGCAGTGTTGCATTGCTTTTTTTTTTTTAATATTTTATGGGAGACCCAGGCTGTTCTGATATGTATACCCTCCCAGCAGCAGCGCACAATACCACCGCAGTCCCCTGAGGTTGCCTCTGTAAAGTTGGCCTGAGTCCTCCAGCTTAGGCAGCCTAACCTGCCCCACCCTGCTGATTTGTGTCTAGGGCTGGGGGTTGCAGGGACTCTTTGTGCCCCTTTAACTTAGTTCTGTTGGTCAAGGGCTGTTCTGTACAAGTCCAAGCCTCTGAGATTCTCCCTCTGTCCCACTGACTTCTCTGTTGGAAAGGGGAAGACCCAGGGAACAAGCGCTACTTCTCCTTTGCCACTCCCTCCCCACAGGACTGATCCCACACTATTTTCCTTTTTCTTCCTCCTTTTTACCCTTTTCTCCTACCAGATTGGTGGTGTATCTTGTCTTTTGAAGAAGGTGATGTACTGTCAAAGTTCATCAGGTGTTCTGATTGGATGGGTGGGTCCATGGATGTCAGGCTTGGTGTATTCGTGGAGGGTGAGCTACGAGTGTCCTTCTATTCCATCATCTTGGCCCTTCTCCCCAGGATGGTATTGATGTCTTGAAAGTTTCTCTGTTATATGTGCTGATGTGACATTGCCATCCTCTAAGTCAACCAAAGGGGTTAATTTATGAGCCACTAAGTCAGGGTTCTGAAGTCACCCACAATGGGCGCCCTTCACTCACCCTTCATCTACGGCACCCTTACAAGTGGGGAGTCCTGAAATTCAGCCCCAAACTTCCTGCTCTTCTTTTTATCTTGTCCTTTATCACATTCACCTTCAACAGTGATGCACATGGGCCTCAGAGTTGTTGAGGCCCAGATCTTCTATTTCAGTTAGGCCTCTACCTTTTTCCCATATTTCTAAGTGCCCAGCAAACATGTCCACTTACAATCATGACTCCAACTCATCAGATCACATGTATTTTCATTGTCTCCCCCTCCATAAGCAGTCCTCCTTCTAAGTCCCTATTTCTTCTTACCAATATTAAGATGATGCTCTTTGAAGATACTTCTATTACCTCTTCCTTGACCTCACACCTATCAAGTCACAATAATTTATTAAATCTGTTTCATAAGGATTTCAGATGCTTTTGCTAGAGTCTGGACACATCTAGGAAGAAAGAAAGCCCCTTGCATATCCCCATGTTGTGGAAAGAACAAAGAGGTGGTTTTCAACTGGGTCAGGAGTTCACCAGGAAAATTGAAGAGAGATGCTGTCCAAAGTTCATGTGCAGAACAGAACCAAGGATGAGAGTCAAAGGTTGGCACTAGAATAGGAAGATCACCATCCATCAGACCTATAGGACAGGTGTGAGGACCTAGAGGTAGGTCAGGAAGTCAGGAAGTCAGGAGCAGGGACAGGGTCTGTCTCGTTCATCTTGGAAACTAGCATGTTGCTGGTTCATGGAAGACATATAGTAAGTGCCCTATATTCCCAAATACACAGCATTTGTTATAACCTTTTCTTCACTTTCCATTCTAGACCTCATACTGAGCAATGCTCCTTCACTTTCATCATTTTAAACCACCAGGTAGTGTTTGGGGAGGACACGTTCAACAAAAGCAACATCCGATAATGTTAGTGTGTGCTGTCTAGAGAGTAATCTGATATAATGGATAAATAAAGAGTCAAGGAATTTTAATAAGATTTAATAATATTTTGTGGGGTTTTAACTCAACAATTCAAGTGTAAAATGTCATTATAAAAAGGCTTTTAAAAATTGCCTTAAAACAAGTAATATAGATAAAAAAATATTCATCTACCTGATAGATTTTGTTTTTTGACAGTTACATACTTTGTGGTTTCTGATAAAATTCCAGTGACTAAGTCACATAAAGATTCCAAAAATACTGCATCTCAAATAATGTAGAGGAAATGAAGGCAATTTAGGCTAGTAAACTGTGTTGGTGGAAACAGTGCTTACAGTATTAGAATGGGGAAAATAGTATTTCTAATTAAAATAATTTTATACAATATATCACTCTAAAATATATGTGTAAGCTAAATTGATAAATTAGATATTAGTAAACATTTGACAATTTTGAATAAATCACTAAAAGTTATACATTCCAAGTGATCAAAACACTTCCTAAGGATCATCTCATTGTGAAACTGGGAATCCAATGATTGCATTATATTTGTTGAGTGAAAAAAATGAATGGATGTGTAAATATTTATTAAAGACAAAAACTTCATTAATAGCATTGGGATGATTTATTTACTAATGCATTAAGCAAAATTTGCACTACTATGTGCAAATCAATTGAATAGGAGTAAAAATGGTTTGATATTAAAAGTCTACTTTCTACTAGGAAAAAAGAGAAAAGCAGCTTAACTTTTTGTTATGAAAAATTTTAAATATATAGAAAAGCCAAAAAAAATAAAAATCACCCATATAACCTCCATCTAGAATCAACAGTTATTAGCATTTCCCCTAAATTGCTCTTTGTATATGTTTAATTTTTGATGAACCATTTGACAGAAAATTATAGCTTCACCTTTCTTAATACTTCAGCATGCATCTACAAAGATTAAAACATTCTCCCACATGACTATAAGGCTATTATCACTCCTAACAAAACTAAAAATTCCTTAATAATATATCTTCCCAGTACACATTTGGATTTCTACAGTTTTTGAAATAAGTATTTTTATTAGTTTTTTTTTTACCAAAAACAAAAAAAGAGGATCGAATGAAAGAACACACAATACACTTGCTTTTCTCTTAAGTCCCCTCCCCAATTCTTTTTTCCTTTTTTCCCCAGTTTGATTGAGGTATAGTTAATAAGTAAAAATTGTATGTATTTGAGGTGCATCATGTGATTTGATATACATATACATAGTGTGCACTAGATCCCTAGAACTTCTTCATCTTATAACTGAAAGCACTTGTACTCTTTGATCAATATCTCCCCATTTTCCCCACCCACCCCATCTCAGCTGCTAGCAACCCCCATTTTATTCTGTTTCTGTGAGTTAAGCTTTTTAAGATTCCACCTATAAGTAAAATCATGCAGTATTATTCTTTCTGTGTCTGACTTATTTCACTTAGATAACATACTCTAAGTTCATCCATGTTGTCACAAAAGACAGAATTTTCTTTTGTGTGTGTGTGGCTGAATAATATTCTAGTATGTATGTGTCTACGTGTATACAAATCACATTTTCTTTATCCATCCATCCATCGATGGACACTTAGGTCATTTCTGTATGTTGGCTATTGTGAAAAATGCTGCAATGAACATAGAAGTGCAGATATCTCTTAATGATATTGATGTCATTTCCTATGAATATCTACCCAGAAGTGGGTTTGCTGGATCATTTGGTAGTTCTTTTAATTTTTTGAGGAATCTCTATACTCTTCATCATAATGATTGCTACAATTTTCATTCCCATCAACAGTGCACAAGGATTCCCTTTCTCCACATCCTAACCAACACTTCTTATCTCTTTTCTTTTTGATAACAGCCAAGCTAACAGGTGTCAGGTGATATCTCATTTTGACTTTGATTTGCATTCCCTGATGATTAGCGATGTTGAGCACATTTCATGTACCTGCTGGCCACCTGTATGTCTTCTTTGGAAAAATATCTATTCAGGTCCTTTGCCTATTTGTAATTGGGTTATTTGGCCTTTTTGAGTTGCATGAGTTATTGACATATAGTTTTGGCTATTAACCCTTTAACAGATATGTGTTTCCAAAAATTTCCTCTCATTCTGTAGGTTGCCTTTTCATTTTGTTGATCATTTATTTGGCCATGCAAAAACTTTTTATTTTGATGTAGTCCCATTTGTTTATGTTTTGCATTTAAAGGCCAGACTAGTTGTAATATAGAAAGTCACACATTGTGGATTATCTGATTGTTTCCTCACGAAATAATTTACCTGATATTTCTTTTGAAATGGAAATTACATATTAGAACTTGACTAAATTCAGATGAAATATTTCATCAGCATATTGAATATTAGATCATGATAAGACCACAGAGTGGTGAGTTGTTCTAACATCTGTGTTGTAATTTGACCACCTGGTTAAGGATGTAAACCCAGGTTTGTGATTGGGCAGTAACCTGTAGGGGGATAGTTTGGCATCTTGAGAAAGCCCTATTCCTCATTAACTTTTTACTTAATGGATTCAGAGCCTGTTGATCACTTTTGCCTGAATCAATTATTTCAACAGGAATTGTAAAATAAAATGACATTTTTGATTAGCCTCTTCAATGATCAGTTTCTACTTTTCTCCAGGGAGCTTTAACAATCTTAAATATGTTCTTTGAAATGTAAAAGGTTGAAAGTCCAAAATTTCAAGTATCAGAGTTTATTGTAATGGGAGAGTGCTAACCTTCAATTTTCTTTTGTCTTTGCAGCAAAATGGAAATTCCAATTTCTATAAGCCAATTGTTGAATCCTTTGAGGAAGCACCTCTTTATGCTGTGATTTTAACTTATATGGGATATGGAATTGGGACGCTGTTTGGCTATCTCAGAGATTTTTTGAGAAACTTGGGTATAGAAAAATGCAATGCAGCTGTAGAGCGAGAAGAACAAAAGGTACGTATGAGCATCTTCTTGGATCTCTGTCAATGCCTATTGTTCTCTGAAGTGTTCTCACTGTGGTGATGCATGTTCAGGTCCTAAAAAGAGTGACACACTCAGGAACTACTCAGGGTAAATCCTATTACTCTGCACCCTCTAGACACTGTAAACATCCCCTGTGTATTCATGGACTTGTTTTTGTTTTACACATATTTATTGAGCAACTACTATTTGCCAGATTGAACTAAGGAATTTCTCATACATAATTATATTTAATTTCTATAATAAGTTCATAAGATATATATTAAATATAATTTTTTAAAAAAATTCTTTTCTTTTATTTATTTTTGGGAGACGTTGTTAGGTTTCTTTATTTATTTTTAGAAGAGGTACTGGGGATTGAACCCAGGACCATGTGCATGCTAAGCATGTGCTCTACCACTTGAGCTACCCTCCCCCTAGAATACCATTTTAAAGATGAAAAGTAAAAATATAAGAGTGAGGCACATGAGTAGGACTGTATTCTGATCTTCTAGTTGTAGGTTGAGCAGTTGTAGGCTTATTTATGTTCTATTCTGGAGTAGAAACGTGTGTTTGAATGAAATGTGAGATTACAATTTCATTTAGGTCCAAGTTTCTCATGTCTGGCACTATTGACATTGTAGACTGGCTAATTTTTTGAAGTGGGAGGCTGCTCTGTGCATTGTAGGACTTTTTCAATAGAATCCCTGGCCTCTACCCACTAGAGGCAATAGGCACTCTTCTACATACGTGTGATAATCAAAATGCCTCCAGACATTGCCAAATGTCTCATGGAGTACAAAATCACTCTCAGTTTAGAACCAGTGATCTAGATACTTTCAGTAGTTAACCTGTAAAAGTCTACATCATCCCCTTTTCACAGAGACAACCTGGAAAACATTCAGAGATCTGGGAAGAGCCTGTGTCTTATTAACATGTTTTCCAAAATTGATTTGAATGATTTATGATGCTATGAACTTCTTTTTCCTAAAAATTTCTTTGGAATATATGATTGTGGACATAGATTATCCACATGATGGAGACTTGAGCACATCTAAGCAAAGAACATAGTTGAGGCATAAACTTCCATGTAATGAGAAAACCTCAAATGCTGTAAATTAGTGACAAGCACCCACGGTAAGATAAACTCTTGTTACAGTAACACAACCATGAACAAATGGTGTAGAAAACTTATTTTGAAATTCTCTTAGATCAAGTGTATTGCCTTCAGAAGGAAATCAGGTCCAGTTTTATCATTTCACTCTCTCCTACCTTTACCTGGTATTTGAGCACATGCTCTACACTAAGTAATGAAGGCTAATAGGGAAGAAACAATAGGTCCCTCCATCAGAGAATTTGAAGTCTGGTGTGTAAAAACAGACTCACAAGCAAAACAAATGATAAAAAGTGATGATAAGGAGGAAGGTGATATAAGAAACAGAGATCCATGCCTTATGATTCACTCAGGAAGTCAGAAAGGCATGATGCTGGAGCTTGAATGGTGAGCAGGAGTCTATGTAGTGAGCAAGGGTGCAAAGAGGACACTCTCAGAAGAGGGCAGTCTTTGTGCCAAAGCATTCCTTCACTCATTAGTCAATTCACATTTGTTTTGAGCATGTGTTTTGTGCCAGGCACAGTGCTAAATGTGGGGATATAAGAATAACCAACACAGAAATGGATCTTGCCTTTAGAGATTTAACTATAAAAAAACAATTGCAACAGAATTTGATAAGAGGTAACACAGAGATAAGTAGATGACATCAAGGAAGCAAACAAGAGAAACATTCAATGTCATCTTGGTATTCAATGAAGGATTCTGGGAAGAAGAGGAAATTAAATAATATCTTAAGGCTGAAGAGTAAGTAGTAAGGTAAAGGGTGAGGCAAGATGTGAGGGAAGGAGTCTTTAAGGATAGGAAATATGGTGCAAAATAGCTAAGAAACAAGAGAAAGCATTGTCTACTTAAGGGACCAAGGAATTCTAACAACCAGAATGTTGCAAGTGAGAGTGGGAGTATGTGGAGAGAAAGATTGTTTGAGAGGGAAGCAGGAACCACACTACAATGGGTTTTTATAAGCCATGGGCATTTATTATAAGAACAATGAGAAGGTATTGAAGGATTTCAGGCAGAGGAATGCAGATTTGCATATTAGAAAGTTTGTGTTCCCTGCCCTATGAAAGATGTATTGCAGGAGGACAACAAAGGGACCAAAAAAGAAGCTAAGAGGCTGATGCAGAAATCCAGGTTTTAGGGAAAATTCTAGCTAAGGGCTTGGGCTGTGCCTAGGGTAGTGATCATAGGGATGGTGATAACATACAAGGCCAAAAGATGTTTAGGAATTTCTTTAGGGATGATTGATTTGACTTGAGGAATTAGGGAAATGTACAAATCGAAGAACCCCACTAGGATTATGACTTGGACAGCTGGGTAGAAAGAAGGTGTTATCATTCACTGAGATGGGGAATAGAGAAGGAAGGGTTGGTTAGAGGGGGAAAGTGGTCAAATCATGTTTTCACAAGTTGAGTTTAACGAATTGGCAGCTGGAGATAGAGGTCTAGACCTCACAGAGAAAATTCTCAGATGGGCGTCATGGCACCTTACACATATCTGGCGCTTGTTAACAGTCGTCAAAGCCACTGAAGCCAATGAGATTTCCCAGGGAAAGTCTGTACAAGGAAGAAGAGAAAATATGAGAAGAGAACAAACAACTTTAGAGAACTTAATAGATGTTAGAGAGGAATTTCAAATCAAGAATGGAAGCAAAGTGACAATAAAAAGCCTTATAATCATCTAGGGAAGAGATAATTTGTACTTTATCTGGGGAAGAGGGAATGAAGAAAAGGGAACCAATTAGAGATACAGGAGATAGGATCAACAAGTTTTGATGCTGGAATGTATGGAAAATAAGCAGAGGGAGGAAATCAGGATAACCCCGAATTTCTAGTAGGGTCAGACATAAGAATGTTTGCGGCACACCAGTCATAACAGAATGGTCCTGTACTTGGCAAAAAGATAGCCACAGACAGTTATAAGGATATAAAGGTCCTTTAATGGTAAAGGATTGAAATGGTTAAATCAAGCTGGAGACAACCCAGCACACTTCCAGAGAAAAATGCAGTTTTCCCAGATCCTAGCAGAGCTGATGGTGAAACTGGAAAATTGGGATGAGAAAGCAAGTTCCTTTTGGCCATTCTCACAAGGATCTCCACAGCCCCTCCCTGCCACCAGCTGGTGTGTTCTAGAAGCTCTCATCACCAGTCTTTCTGCTCCCCAGGCACAATTAACTGGTGCACAGTAAATCAGCACATTCTAGAATACTTACTGGAGCACAGCGTAAGTCAAATGTACGTCACTCAGGTGTAACATCCTTGGCAGGAATAGGCTTCAAACATGCCATCTATTTTCCAACCGATTGCAATATTTTTGCTCTATCAACCCAGCAGGGCTTGTCACTTTGATTTTTCTGAAACTCTTCTTACATTTCAAGTAGAATGCATGTGTGTGTGTGTGTGTGTGTGTACATATACACATACATGTGGCAAGCTTGCTATCAGGGAAACAGGCTCTGAGATGGAAGGCTGAGGGCTGAGAAGTGAGTGGGTGTGCTCCTGGGATCAACACCTGGACAACTGTGAGGAAGTGAAAGAGGCAAGTTGTGGCAGGTGAATTGTGAGACAGTCCCAGCAGAGGCCTCTGGGGATCCCACAGGGCTCTCTGGTGATGGGAGTGTCCCTCAGAAGCATTCTTATTAAAGGAAGAGGTGGAGCCTTCCATGATGCTAGATGGGGCTGCCATCAGAAAGGGATGTGATCTTGAGCCCAGCAGTCCCCTGCAGTCAGCTGTGAGGCTCCACGCTCCCCTCATCTGGGGGTGGGGTGCTTGAGTTCTGAATAACAGCATGTACATAGTGCACAGCTGTCTGTACCACAGCACCTCTCAGTATTGCCCCAAGAGCTGTGGAACTACCTCCCAGGAAGAAGGCATTGCATTAAATAGATCTGTGTCTCATTTTGTTTTTAACAAAATAAGCGATTTCCATCTATTTGATCTCTGTGAGGTAGAGGGCATCAGTCCACTGACTGATAGACACACCTTTTATATGACACACTTGTTATTTTGTGTTCTTCCCATTTGAGCTGCTTTTTAGAGATTGAGGGCCTTTCAGAGTAACAGGGTCTAACAATCTGCAATGGCTCCAGTCATGTGTACTTTTGGTAGGACTTGGTCACAAGAAGCCCTGGCCTTCAGACTGGCCTTCTCCTTTTAATACTGCCCCCAGCCCTGGACTTCTTGCTGTGTTAACAAGCTGTCTTAGGCACATCTTGAAGGCTCTTGCTTGAAATGTGGAGTGTGCTGCTTTCCAATGACCCCTGGTTCTTTGTAGCAAAAATGAGTGTTATTCTAATCTAAAATCTTGTTATTGTGTATGCAGAATAGATTGTCTCATCAGACAAACTGGCCGTGAGCAATGTGACACCAGGATAGAGAACGCCTCCAGGAAGGGCTGGTGGAGAGGAGCTCACAGGTGTTTTACAAAGATCGTCACTGGATGCTCTCATGTCCTGTGACACTCGTTTACTCTGTGCTCATCCTTTCCATTTTTATTTTGTTTTTCATGAAATTGTATAGATTTAGTGTGCACAACAGGATGTTTCAATGTACATGTACGCAGTGAAGTGGTTACTGTGGTCAAGCTCATTGACGTGTCCATCTCCTCACTTCTTTTTCTTAATCGAATAGAAGAATTTATGAATCCACTTTCCCTCTTTTCTCTCTCACTGTCATGACTCCTCTCATACCAAACCAGCCATTCAACTGAAGTGTTGCCCCAAATGTAGTATTTCTTTTTGCTTTTTCATCCGTTTGATTTCTAGCCCAAACATCCAGTAATTGACTCCAAAATATAAAATCCCTGACAATCCTCTTTATCTGAATCACTTGATTACTGATTCACTCAGTTTTTACTGAGTCAACCAGTAATGCTAGTTAAAAC